CCCCTGAAGTCCAGCCACAAGCCAGTTGCCTTAACCCCCACAGCCAAGGGCACCCCCTCGCCTGCCACCGCGGGCCCTGTCAAGTTGTCACCCTGCTGCCACTCACCCGCCCCGAAGCCCCCTGCCAGCTGCCCCACGCCACCACCACACCCTGGCGCCCCGTGCACTTTCTCTGTCTGCCCTGTCGTCAGCCCCGGGTCTGGCTCCAGGGTCCCCAGCACCGAGGATGAGAGTGGGGACAGCCGGCGACCCAAAGCCGACCTCTGCGTGCTGGAGCCAGGTGAGGGAATGACGCGTGGTGGCCCCCAGCAGGAGCAGCATGCAGCGTCCCAGCCGCCCTCAGCAGGCTGGAGGGCAGGGGCAGCCCACTGGCATGAGGTGGCCAGCGTCGCTGTGCACTTCGAGCCAGGCAGGACACTTGTCACCGTCATCCGCAGGCCGAGCTGAGGAGGGTCCCTGGGAGCAGGTCTCAGGTGCCTTGGCCCTGCAGCCTGGCCACGGCTGGCTACTCGCCAGCCTGTTCTGCTCTCAGAGCGGGGCTGAGTGTGGACGTTAGAACCGCGCGGCCGGCATAAGCCCGTTCCAGCCCCAGGACAAGGAGGCTGAGCCAAAAGTCTTTCTCCTTGTTGGTTTTTTTTTTTTTTTCGTTTTTGTTTTTGCTCGCAGTTAATGGGGCATAATACCACACATGGCTCAGGGAAGCCCCGGTTCACGCCCCATGATTTAAAATACCCCTTTCCTAGTTAGTTACACACACACCCACACACACCCACCGTGCGGGACGGCTGGGGGCCCAGGCTGCTTCGTGTAGTGCCTCCCTGTTTCCTGGCCCAGTGCTGCCCCCGTGAGCTCTGAGGAGTTAAAGGCCACCCCCCAGCCCTGACTCTGGCTCCCCCTTCCCCAGACCTTCCTCCTGGATACTTGCGCCCCACGGCCGGCCTGGGCTTCTCTCCCCTGCCCTCGGAAGTGCACTCATCTGACCTCGTGGGCCCCGAAACTATGCAAGCAGCTGCCCCCAGGGCCCAGCCTGAGCCAGCGAGGACGTTCCTGCCGGGGGAGCCACCCCCTTGCAGCCCTGTGAGCCTGGGGGAGCCCAGGCTGCTCTCAGGGCCCAGGGAGGCCACACAGGACCTGGCTGTCCCCCACCCTGCCGAGCAGGGCCCCCCGGGGAAGGCAGCAGACCCCAGCCCACTTGAGGGGCTACGAGAACTGCAGTGTGAGGTGGCCCTCGAAGGAGGGGGCCCCAGGGCCACTGGCCCAGTTCATTCTACTCAGGGAGGGGCATGTGAAGAGAGGACCGTGGAGGAGGGCAGGGAGGCAGGGCAGCGGCCCTGGGCAGGGGCCTCCCCCCACGCTCTGGAGCAGCAAGCAGGGAGCCTGGGTGCCCGGGACAGGGCTGAAGAGACTGCATGGCAGGCTCCTGAGGACATGGAGCTGCAGGAGGACAGCCTGGAAGAGGAGAGTGTGGAGGACTCAGAGGAGGACTGGGGGGCGGCTCCCAACCACAGGCCCCCTCTCAGGGCACTGCCAGGCCTGGATGCCCTGGTGGCTGCCACTATCGACTTAGGGGACCTGCCCAGCATCAGCCCACTGGCCTCTCAGCCCCCGGCGGCGTCTGGAGCACCCCCAGCGGTCCCTCCTGCAGCGCCCCAGCCCCGTAGCTCAGGAATTCATGGGCTTGCCCTGCTCAGTGAACTGGCCGACCTGGAGACCCAGCGGCAGAAGAGCGAACAGGCTGGGCGAGGTAAGCCCTGGGCTGGGCTAGCAGGGCCCCCATGGGGTGGCCCTGGGCCCCTGGGCCCCCTGCTGGAGATTGGGGACAGGCTGCCATGCCACCCTTGGCCATGGTCCCTCATGGGGCCTCAAGGGTACCTGCTGTTGGAGAGGCTGACGGGCCGGTGTTGCCTATGTCTCCCCTTGGCCAGCACTTCCTGGCCCCAGGTCTGTGTGGAGTCCCGTCCAGGGGAGGGGCCTTGGGGCTGTGATCTGACAGAGCCCCAGGACCCCATTGGCCCCACTGAGCTGGGGTGGCCCCGCTCCACCCAGAGGCCCCAAGGTCAGGGGTGGGATCCTAGAGCTGGGGGTTCCCATGGCCTCCCAAGCTGGGGCCAGAGCACCAGGGTGCCCACAAAGGTCTCAGCTGGGTTTGCCAGCCCCAAGGGCTCGACGTGGGACCCCACCACTGCCCCGATGGTTCCAGCAGGTCCCTCTCCAGCAGAGCAGACCCCAGGGGAAGCCCCCAACCCCGGCTAGGGGAGGAGCCAGCCAGGCCTGCATCTGTGGGTGTTGATAGAAAACCCGGCTCAGTGCTCAGGCCCCGCTTTCCTGCTGCACAAACGCTGGCCCCCAGCTCCCCTTTGGTGCTGCTTGAAGATGAAGGGTGTCCTTGTGAATTCCAGGAGGGCACCAGCCTTTGAGCCTGAGCAGGGCTGTCACTGGGTTGGGGGTAGGTGAGCCTGGGGGTGCCACCTGCCCTTGGGTGTGGCCGGGGCCTGGGAGCTCCACTCGGAGTGGCTGCGCAGAGGGGAGCAAGCCGGGAGCCCCACGGGCGCGAGTGTGGGGGGCAGGCGACACCCGCCGCG